AATGTCAGAGCATCACAACTCAGGCCCGTACATACCATAAATAAACTTTAAAATCCCTAGCAAAAGGGTCCCCCTACAGACTACTCAAGAAATTCCGCGATTGTTATTGTGATTTCTATAAACACCTGGGTGGGGCCACTTAGCTAATATGGGGGGCGGGGGCACATAGGTGTCTAGACAGAACACGGAGGTGAAGACCAGACTGAATAGTGTCTCCAGAGCAATAAACGAACACCCAGGGGCTGTGTATCTAATCGCTTATGGCACCCAGATGTCAATGATACGACCCAGCACCCACAAGCAGCCTCGTGCGTCACCAAGCAGGACGCAGTGACTAAGTGTTACTTCCTCCCTTGTGTATGGTAAAAGGTGACCAATGATTGTCACAACACACCAGTGTACCAAAAGGGTTGGTTCTCAGTTGAACACAGGGGGCTGGATCTTCAGGAGGGCTCTGCACGGAGGGTGCTGAGCAGTTTGGAAAAGCTGGCCCTCACTTAGGTGCTTCACACCTAATCCACCATGTTTGTACAGGTAGAGCCAGGTCAGTGAGAGATGATTTTACACCGAAATGGTTATACCGATAGGTCCCCTTGTACAGCTGTAGTTATACCACTACAGAAGTGGCCCAGTCTACTTGTGATGGGCTTTCTAAGGAGAATTCGCCCAGCTCAGCCCACCTGTGGTCATTAAAGCCCAGATCCACAAAGGTACTTCAGCTCCTAACTCAGCTGGGGCTAACTGCTTAGGGGCGCCACTTGGCAGCTAATTGACTGGGGAGCACCTGGGCCTGAGAAAAGGCTACCAGAGCTCAGTGCCGGGGGTGCTCCTAAGGAGATGATGCTCCCAAACAGCAGGCCCAGTGGCTTTCCAAACCTCGGAGGAAAGGACGGGGTAGGGGAAAGGGATCAGCTGGCAGCACCGAGTCACTCCCCAGCCCCAGGAGAAGAGCTGGGGACTCCTGCTCCAGAGCGAGGGTAAATGTTTATAACCCAGCCGCAGGAGGAGGGGCTGTGGTACTCCTGCATACAAGAAGGGTAAGACTACCTGCCCAAGGGGTAGATCTGTGGGACTCCTGGATTTAGGCGAGGAGGTCTGTCAGAATTAGTGCCCAGACTCCCAGAAGAAAGGTGGATTTAAGGGGCTCCTTTAAAAAAGAGCTAATCAATATTCCTCCCCCCACCCCCCACCCCCGGAGGGATCTTGATTGAAATACTTTGTTCTGGGAGTAAATCATTGTAAGACTGGGAGCAGAGCCCGGTGGGCCTGCGGGGCCATCCTGTGCCACAAGAGGGTGTGCTTGAGGGCATTGACCTGCCCCTACCAGTATAGCGTATTCCCCTTTCTGTAGCTATACTGCTCTGGGCACCTATAATAATATGTTCTTCTCTGGCACTTTTCATCACTAGGCCTCAAGGCACTTTACAAAGGAGGTCAGTATCATTATCCCTGTTTTACACTGTGGGGAAAGTGAGGTGGAGAGAAGTGTGAATTGCCCAAGGCCATCCAGCAGGCCCATGGCAGAGCAGGTCTCATGAACCCTAGTCCAGTGCTCTATGCACTAAGCCACACTGCCCCTTTATGCTGTTATAACTGTATCCACACCAGGGGAGGCAGGGGGACAGACCCTGTATGGTTAAAGTTGTACAACTTGCTAGTGTAGACAGGGCCTAAAAGGGCGGTGAGCTCTTGAAAATCCAGCTCCAGTGGTAGATGCTGAGCCCTCAAAAACCTGATCCTGAGCTTGCTGGGCCTGTCATGCTGGTGGTCAGGGCTGATGATCACGACGCAGGAATGGATGGAAATCTGACGCTCTGTGCCTGCGTTCATCCCTGTTACTCAGGCGAAGTAGCACCTTACTCCACGAGGAGCCCTAGAATCCAGGCTTATGAAAAAAGGTCCCATGAACAGAAGGTCTCCTCATGATTAAACAGGGTCATGGGAATTGCTGATAAAGACCCCTCTCCTAGCTAGAGAGAAATGAGGCGGGGGGAGTCCACCTATCCTGAAAGGAGATTTCCTCCTCTAAAATGACTTCCTTTTTGTAGTATTACATGGGCTCTACCAGGATTAAAAATGTCCACACGATCTTCTTCTGCTTATGCCGCTGTGGGTTAGGATCATTATCCGATGCTGAGCTCTGCCTATCGGCCTCTCTGCTGTACTTTGACTGCACGCCGGAGCAGACTGGATCCTTTGTTCAGGGATGCACATGAGCCTTCGCGTCCTCTAGCTCAGGGGTCGGCAACCTTTCAAAGTGGTGTGTCGAGTCTTCATTTATTCACTCTAATTTAAGGTTTTGTGTGGCAGTAATACATGTTAACGTTTTTAGAAGGTCTCTTTCTATAAGTCTATAATATAGAACTAAACTATTGTTGTATGTAAAGTAAATAAGGTTTTTAAAACGTTTAAGAAGCTTCATTTAAAATTAAATTAAAATGCAGAGCCCCCTGGACCGGTGGCCAGGACCCGGGCAGTGTGAGTGCCACTGAAAATCAGCTCGCGTGCCATAGGTTGCCTACCCCTGCTCTAGTTGTTCCCAAGCAGACACCACTCTGGCTCACTGCTGCTCTCTTCTGGCACAGACTCTCCACTCACCTAGCTTGGCCAAGGGTGGTAGGATGCGGACTGTAGGCAGCTCTGCTCGGAGGCCTGAGTTCACTTCTGGGAGGTTTATGGGGGGGTGGTGGTCTGGGGGAGGGAAGGGGTAATGCGGGGAGGGATGGCAGTGGGGTGGGGTGTGCTCTTGGGGGGGAAGGAATGATGTTAGAGAGGGATGTTGCTGGAGGAGGAGATGACGGGGAGTTTTATCCTCAGTGAAGGGGCCAGGAAGAGTATGGATATGTGCAAATCTGATCTAAACTTGCGCTACAGAGGAACACAAGCATGGTGCAGTAGAAGCCCATCGTAGCCTGTCTCTGACAGTGGGCCGTGCTCCTGTAATGCTTCCCACAACACCCCTGCTGGGAGAGGCCAGAACTTGGAGCATCTGCAGATTCCCCCGGTTCCAGTTCTGGCTCCCCATTTCCTCTAGCACCTCATGTTGGGGGAGGCTAGCCTGGGCTCCTGGGATTTATGAGCTCTGCACAACCAAGGCTTTGGCCTGTGAGTTTGCTCAGCCTGTTAATGTTTAATGAAAGCCGGGGAATATCTAAGGGAGCTTGCAACCACTCTGGGCAGAGAGCAAAGCTTCTGTGGTTTGTGCTCCAGCTAGTAATCTGGAGATTACATAATTCTGCTCCCGGAACTGCCTTGCATGGGGAGGCGTCTGCTCAGCAGCCCACATGGCACCAGGGCATGGGGCCGGGCCCATGCTGGGATCCAAAGCTAGAGCTGGGGGAGGAGGGCTTGCCACATGCCCCTCTCAGGTGAGACCGAGCACAGGGAAAAAGGACTTTGGCATCTCCCTCTGAAACTCGTCCAGTCCCCATGGCCTCCTGCCAGCCAACCCCAAGGCATTCCAGTTTCCTGCTTAGCTGTGCCTGGGTGGAAGGAGATACATTGCCTACCCAGAGCTCTAGCCAGGGGGAAGTAGAAGGCCCATAGCTGGACTGAGGTGTTTAGCTGGCAAGGTGCCCCCGGAGGGTACCAGTGTTTGGGGCAAGGGTGGGAAGCACCAGGAGTGTCCCATTGGTTAGCTGGGTAGATGCTATCACCCCCATGCAGCCTCTTTTCTGCCCACTCTGGCTGCCTCCCTCCCACTCTCCCTCTGCCCCAGCCGTAAGAGGATCGAAACAAAACCCAGGAGACAGCTGGCTGCCTGGGCCAGGACCTCAGGTGGTGTAAACCAGCATACGCTCAGTGGAGCTTGCACCAATCTACACCGCACCAATTTACACCAGCTGAGGATCTGGCCCAGAGGCTGTATTTCTGGTGACACAGGCAGGATTCCATTCCCTCTGAATTCTCTGCCATGCAATTGGGTGCTAGGAATATTGGCAGCTGCCTCCCCCAGCTCTCTGCCTGGTTCCCTTCCAAGGGGAGGGATTCAGTGGAGCAAATGAAGCTGCCTTTTCTTCTGACACTTCATAAGGGTATGGCACAAACTGGACTACCTTTAACCCTTGCTTATCATGACAAGGTCAATACTCATGTGTCATGGTAGGGGTCACTATGTCGGATGTCCTGAATCTGGTGGCTACTGCTACAGTATCCACTCCCCCCGGCCCACCCTTACATCCACATCTCTTAAAAATGCATCCCATTCCCTCTCTGCTTTCCACCTCCCTGTCCCAACCATACTGTGTCTTGCTTTCACTCTCAAAGAGGTCACAGTGGAGACAGGAGGGCATCTAGAGAAGGCAACAGGTTTAGAACTAGGAGGCACTTTGTTTTTATGCTACACACAATTTATCCTGTGGAACTTCCTGCTACAAGATATCAGGCCAGATCCTCAGCCGGTGTAAATTGGTGTAGCTCCATTGACATCCACACAGCAACAATGATTTATGCCAGCTGAGGGTCTGGACCATTGAATCCAAGGGCTTGGCAGGGTTCACGCAAGGATATACCCATGTCTGGGAGAGATTTTCAAAAAGTGTGTACGGGATTAAGAAGCGCAGCTGTCAGATCTCCCCCTAAATTGGTAATGAAAACATGCACAGTTAATAAAGATCAGATCAAAATGATAAGGGGTTATAAATCCTCATGCTTCAGGGCATACTCCAACCACTAGCCGACAGGGGAGAGGAAGAAATGTCTCCAGTTGCTGGTTATTCTAGAATTGTCCACTAAGAGGTATCCTGCATCATCCTCTGAAGTATCTGGCACTGATCCTTATTGAGCTTAAATGGACCCTTTCTGATGTGCTACGGTGATTCCTGTGCTCTTATGCTTTGCTACACGCTGCTCTCTTCCCCCAAAGGACTCTGGGAAGGATGCCGTTGCTTCAGCTGCAAAGGGACTTTCCAGTGTGCAGCCCTGCCAACCACAAACATTCACAAAGGATGACTCAGGCCTGCAAGCCTCATTGGTTGAAAACTCCCGACATTTTTTTTTTCTTCAAAGAATAGATGTGAGACTTTTCTGGCTTCTGAGCCTTTTGGGGTCTGATTTTTCTAGCACTTCCCTGCAATCACAAGGGGAAAAAGGATTATTTTTAAAAGAAAAAAGCAAGCAAGCAAGCTGAGATTCCCACCTAATCACCTGACTTCAGGAGCTCGGGCTTTAAGGAAAACACCAGAGAGCACACAACTCTTGATGACAACACCAGAGCTGGCAATACTGGTAGCATGGGGTTCTGGGATTGTAAGAGGCCCTAGAGATTAAAACTCCAGGGAATCAGATCAGGCCAGGTAGAGAGCATGACAGAGAGAGTCTTGCAGCTTGTCCTGCAGCTTGTCTTTGTGCTGATGCTTCTGTGATAACAATCTCTGCGGCTTGCGGGCTGCTGCTGTGGTTCTAAGAACAGAGCTCTGCCACCTTCCTCCAAAGCGCTCCAGTGGCTTTATGCTGACTTATTTTCATAGAGGGGAAAATACAAGTGGTTTTGAATGGAAGCTGTTCAAGAGACACAATGGTTACTTGAGATTGATCCCCGCAAAATATGGGGGTTGCCTGAAATGGAGCCCGGGTCTGGCTCTGGCTTTTTGCAGAATCAAAGCTGAGCAGATGTGAACAAAGCCCAGCTCTCACCAGCTCCTCCACAGCCATGCTGCCAGTGTCAAGAGAGAAGGTGAGGACTCAATGGGCCGTGGGATCCTGAATTGTCCAGTCTGGGTCAGGGTGGAGGGATGCTGAAGAAATTTCCAACCTGATTCCTCAGAGCCTAAAGCTTTGGACGAACTCTGGGAGCAGCCTTTGAATTCTCCAGGGGCTTCTCCAAAGAGATGGGACATGCTGCAGGACTGGTGGACAGCCCCTTGTTCTGTGGTATCAACAGGATGGGATGTAATGGGGTCACCCCTAGGCTGTTTCAAAGCGCTCTCCCCAAGTAAGGTTCTGGGCCTCTTTAGTGCCTCTGGGCACTAAAGTGGGCCCCAGCCTACAACCTCCCTCCCCCAGTAAACACAGCTTCAGTAACCCCCCCACATCAACTCAGTCTGACCACAACACACCACCCAGTCTACTGGGTCCCCTTCCCCGCTATGTTCCCTTTGACTTTTTCTGCAGAACTCCAACCTCCAAGAGCGGAAGGTGCAGATAAATATCACCCAGAGAGTAAATATAACCCTGACGTTTTCTTAAGAGTGCTACGCTCCCCCTCATAAATGTAATGTCCTCCCAGCGTTTCTGTTAAAATATAAAACATTCAGTCTATCCATTTGACTTATTAACAGTTGGCCCCAAGTTCCGGCTCTTAAGCAGTTGTCCTCAGCTGAGTCACCAGTTCTGATACCGAGGATGGAAACTTCTGCATCTCTCCACAGTAAGCAGGAAATCTACTAAATTAACATAATAAACTATTCAGAACTATAAAGCATGTTATTACAGCAACATCCATACTTTAAATCAATATCACTTCATTTGCCGATATTCCATCAGTCTTGGATAGAATGCAGAAAAAGGTGCAGGAATAGGTATTTCGCACGCCCTATGACAAATATGAGGATAACCCCAGGGTTCATTCACCACTCCAGGAGTTGGATTTAGACACAGATAATTACATGTCTCTAAATGTTCATATGTCTTCCCTCCCTAGTTGGATGACCTTGCATGTTGGGTCCCTCGCTAGTTTAAACTAGAGTAATTGGTGGATTCTCCATTAAGTCTTTAAATGATGATTTGAGGATTTCAGTAACTCAGCCAGAGGTTATGGCTTACTACAGCAGTGGGTGTGTGAGGTTCTGTGCTCCGCGATGTGTGGCGGTCAGACTGTTCGGCGGTCAGACTGTTATATGATCGTGATGGTCCCTTCTGGCCTTAAATCTATGAGTCAGTAGAAAGCTCTCACAATCTGTCCTCTTGTGTGCTCCTGGTTTCAGGTTCCACAGGTTTGTTTTGGCATTCAGGTCTTTCACTATCTGGTGTGAATGTCACATCAATCTGATCAGCAGTTTCCATGTTTGCAGGATCAACAACATCCTCATTTCTCAGACATGGATTGAATGTTTCTGCCTCTGGATGCAGTCTCTGTTTCAGGGGTAGTATTTGCTCCATTGCACGATGTAGTTCATCTTTGCTCTCGCTGTCAGAATCACTGGAGTCCAAATTCCTGTCCTGGTTTTGATCTCTTGTGGCACCGGCTTGTCTTGTTCTCCGTGTCTCCCACTGGGTAGTTTAGAGGGCAGCAATATACCAAGCATACGAAGTCACAGGGAAGTAAAGAGACATCTTTCTTTATGCAAACTTTACTTTTCTGTTGGCAGCTTTTCCTGGAACAAACCATAGCATGCTACAGCTGCACTCCTGGGAAACCAGGCCCAAACGTATGCAAAAGTTAAACATCTACTAGGCCCTGCCTACATCCCAAAGTGCACAGGCACAGAGGCCAGCTCCAGCCAACCAGAGATGTTATTTCAGAAAAAACAGGGGGAGAGAATTGTGTCAGCATGTGACTATAATTCTGGAGGGGTGTGTGGGGGTGGTGGAAGATATAGTGTTGCAGATAGACCTATGAAAAGCACCCAGTAGCAGCTGCGTAGAGAGGTGCAACTGCGCCACCTGGGGGCCTTGCCCAGCAAGTGAGCCCTGAACCTGCACTGTGTGTTACCACACACATTGGCAGCTCGCTGCTGCAGGCTGATAGTGCCCATCCCAGTAGCTGGGTGCCTGCAGGGATCTGGGCATTTGTGTGCCTTGGTGTTTATCTGAAATTGCATGTTTCAGAGGGTTTTTTTATGCCGCAGGGAACTGTCCGGGCAGCAATCTGGTCTTCTCAGGCTATTTCAGTTGCTGGACTGTCTGTGAATCTGGGAAATCCTTTCCTTGCCCTTAGATATTGCTTATTTCTACATAAGAAAGGCCATATTGGGTCAGACCAATGACCCATCTAGACCCAGTATCCTGTCTTCTGACAGTGGCCAATGCCAGGTGCCCCAGAGGGAATGGACAGAACAGGGAATCATCAAGTGATCCACCCCCTGTCGCCCATTCCCAGCTTCTGGCAAACAGAGGCTAGGGCAGGCCCGGCTCCAGGCACCAGCTTAACAAGCAGGTGCTTGAGGCGGCCAAGGGAGAGTGGCGGCACCTGCAGCAATTCGGGGGCGGCAGGTCCCTCACTCCCTCTAGGAGCGAAGGACCTGCCGCTGAACTGCCGCCGCCGATTGCGGCCTTTTTTTTTTTGCTTGGGGCGGCAGAAATGCTGGAGCCGGCTCTGGGCTAGGGCCACACCATTCCTGCCCATCCTGGCTAATAGCCATTGATGGACCTATCTTCCATGAACTTATCTAGTTCTTTTTTGAACCCTGTTATAGTCTTGGCCTTCACAACATCCTCTGGCAGAGTTCCACAGGTTGACTGTGCATTGTGTAAAGAAATACTTCCTTTTTTTCGTTTTAAACCTGCTGCCTATTAATTTCATTGGGTGACCCCTAGTTCTTGTGTTATGAGAAGGAGTAAATAATACATCCTTATTTACTTTCTCCACACCAGTCACGATTTAATAGCCCTCTATCATATCCCCCCTTAGTCATCTCTTTTCCAAGTTAAAAGGACCAGTCTTACTAACCAGTCCTCACATGCAAGCTGGTCCGTACCCCTAATAATTTTTGTTGCTCTTTGCTTTTCCAATTTCAATATATCTTTTTTGAGATGAGGCGACCACATCTGCACACAATATTCAAGATGTGGACGTACCAAGGATTTATATAGAGGCAATATGATATTTTTGTCATATTATCTATCCCTTTCCTAATGATTCCCAACATTCTGTTACCTTTTTGACTGCCACCGCCCGTTGAGCAGATGTTTTCAGAGAACTAACCACAATGACTCCAAGATCTTTCTTGAGTGGTAACAGCTAATTTAGACCCCATCATTTTATGTATATAGTTGCGTTTATGTTTTCCAGTGTGCATTGCTTTGCATTTATCAACATTGAACTTCATCTGCCATTTTGTTGCCCAGTCACCCAGTTTTGTGGGATCCCTTTGTAACTCTTCACAGTCTGCTTTGGACTTAACTATCTTGAGTGGTTTTGCATCATCTGCAAATTTTGCCACCGCACTGTTTACCCCTTTTTCCAGATCATTGTTGAATAGCACTGGTCCCAATACAGACCCTTATTTACTTCTCTCCATTCTGAAAACTGACCATTTATTACTACCCTTTGTTCCCTTTCTTTTAACCAGTTACTGATCCATGAGAGGACCTTCCCTGTTATCCCATGACTCCTTACTTTGCTTAAGAGCCTTTGGTGAGGGACCTTGTCAAAGGCTTTCTGAAAATCTAAGTACACTACATCCACTGGATCACTCTTGTTCACATGCTTGTTGACCACCTCAAAGAAATATAGTAGATTGGTGAGGCATGATTTTCCTTTACAAAAAACATGTTGACTCTTTCCCAACAAATCGTGTTCATCGATATGTCTGATAATGCTTTTCTTTACTACAGTTTCAACCAATTTGCATGGTATTGAAATTAGGTTTACCTGCCTGTAATTGCCAGGATTGCCTTTGGAGCCTTTTTTAAAAATTGGTGTCACATTAGCTATCCTCCAGTCATCTGGTATAGAAGCTCATTTAAATAATAGGTAACATATCACAGTTATTCTGCAATTTCACATTTGCGTTCCTTCAGAACTCTTGGGTGAATACCATCTGGTCCTGGTGACGTATCAATTTGTTCCAAAACCTCCTCTAATGACACCTCAATGTGAAACAGTGCCTCAGATTTGTCACTAAAAAGAATAACTCATCCTCAGCCGTGAAGACCGATGCAAAGAATTCATTTAGCTTCTCCACAATGATCTTATTTTCCTTGAGTGCTGCTTTAGCATCTCAGCTGTTTGCCTCCATAAGGCAAACAAAAGACTCTAGGTAAGAGATAAAATCCAAATCCTGAGCCACGCGGGTGCTCCCTGATTCTCCTCAAGGGCTGAGGGATTCAGACCTGTTCCCAGATATCTCCCCCAGCCCAATAGCAGAACTAATAGGGGGAAAAGAGGGTGACTGCCATCCCAGTGGCCTTTTGGTGTAAGGGTGGTGTGTTATCCATCATACTATGGAACTGACAAAAGGAGGTGTATGACATGACTTTTCACAAGGGGCTGGAGCGTGAGCCCATCCTGCACTCACTCACCAGTGACAGCGCCTGTCCTGGCTCTGTGACATGGCGCACAGGGTAGTGTGACGCTGCGACCCCGTGTTCCAGGTCGGGATGTCACTCACGTAGAGTTGGCCTGGCCACCCCTCCGTCATGACTAAACCAGAGTGGTGCTGCAACCCTGTGTGCCAGATTGGCGGGGGATGTCCATAAATTACATAACACACTCTAGGGGTGTGGGTCCTTCCTTTTGCACCTTTGTTTCACTGTTACAAGTGTGTGTGTGTGTGTGGGGGGGGAAGCCTTGAAAAATCACCAAAAAAATTGGCTGTCGGGGACTGTCCATAAATTGCATAACAGAGCAGGAAGCCAGGCCCAGCTGAGCAGGGCAGGAACCATCAGTGCAGGGTGCATGCAGGGTGGGCTCGCTCTCCAGCTCACCACCAATGACCCATCACCCTGCACTGACCAAGTGCTGAGATCCCACCCACGCTTTGGGCTGGCCCAGATTTCTCAAGGTGCCAAGTTCACCCAGTGCCCCCCCCCACTCAGCACCCCCCAACCCTGCAACCCCCCAACTCTGCAACCCCCCTCAACCCAGCAGCGCTCCCCCCATACGCAGCACCCCCTACGAATGGGAAGCCCAATGCTAAGCTCAGCCCCCCAGTTGCTCCCCGGCCCCAGTCACACACCCTAGGCCCAAACGAGGGGCAGCGTCAGGGGTGGGCAATGGGACCCCTCCTCGAGCCGGACCCATCGCCTAGCCCGAGCTCGTTCGCTCCCATTCTTTTCCGCCAGGGGGCGCCGCTCGACCCTTAACGCGGGCACCTGCCCGCTCTGTGCGTACGGCGTCGCCTGCCCGGTCCGTGCGTGCGGCGTGACGCTAGGCACCGCCCCGGGCGCATGACGTGTGCCGGGGGCTAGCCCCGCCCCCTGCCGGTGCGCGCGGCGGCCGCAGTCTCCCGCTGCAGAGTGCTCGGAGCCGGCGGGGCCGGAGTCTTCTCAGTGAGCGCTCCCGAGTGGGTCCGTCCGACGCCGGCTGTTCCCGCCCCGCCCCCGCTCCGGATCCCCCGGGCGGCGCTGCTGACCCCTCCCGACCCGGTTCGCCCCCCCCTCCCCGCAGCTCCAGGATGTCGGTGCCGGATTCCGCCGTCGGGGACGAGATGAAACAGGCCAAGGAGATCGAGGACGCCGAGAAGTATTCCTTCATGGCCACGGTCACCAAGGCGCCCAAGAAGGTACCGGGGGCGCGGGGGGGTCCGGTCCGGGGGTGCGTGAGGGGCCAGGTCCGGTCCGGGTGTGTGTGTGAGGGGGCAGGTCCGGTCCGGGTGTGTGTGAGGGGGCAGGTCCGGTCCGGGTGT